TACTATTTAGGACGGGGCGCAAAACAAAATTTTCACGGGAATAGACAAAACTAAACATCGAAAAATATTCAGCAAAAAAATTTGGAACGCAATTACTTGCACCACCCAGAAAATATCAAAAGTGTTTTGAATAAAAAAAGTCCGAAAAACAACTTTTGTCGCGCGTAAAACTTTTGGGGTCCAAAAAAATTAGAAAATAAACTCGAACCTATGATCTTTGCCTTCCCAGCATGATCCTAAATTCACGGTCAACAGGCTAAATTGATACCACGATAAAAACTAACGTAGCCTGAGCAAGTAATTCTGTAGAAGTAGTTGACAACCTGAAAAAAGAATCTATATTCCGAGTTGATAAATCTTGCTAATTGCAAGCGTAAGGAAGCTTTGAGCTACTGTCACACGACAATAAAATTGCAACTTCTGATTTCAGCGAGAAACTAAGCCAACATCACGTGCTCAGACGCTCATTAATCCGAAAACAAAAAATGCCAGAAGAAATTGTTGTCATAGAAAAATTTTGAGCGATAAATTGTTTGAATTTTTAACTTTTACTAGCGTTTAACGCACCTCCGGTGCTTCGAAAACTCAATGGTCATCTGCAGAAATTTGGAGGCCAGATATTCAACCACTGAGAGTCCCTGAGAGCACCCTACTATAGATTTGGGAATTCAAAATTTCGTGAATTTTTTTTAAACCTAAGTTTCCAGAAAAAAAAAAGAAAAAAAAACGTCTTATCTCGGAAACTAAAATGATTTGAGCATTCATATTAAGAGGCAAGATTTGAGACGCCAGAGTGTACGCTGCCAATAAGGTTGTATCTTCATCGAGTTGGTAGTTTCAAATTTTTCGAATTTCTTTGTAGATAAGTTCTTTGATAAGTTTTGAAAAAATCAAGAAACGTTTTATCTCGAAAACTACGAAGAATTGAGCAGTCATATTTGGAGGCAAGATTCACAATCTTTGAGAGTACTCTGATGAGAGGACTTAACTACATGGCTAGGAATTTCAGATTTTTAAAAAATCATCATAATCTAAGTTTTCTGAAAATTTTTGAAAAAATCACAAAAAACATCATATCGAAAACTACAAGAATTTGAGCAGTCATATTTGGAGGCAAGATTCGCAATCCTTGATAGTACTCTGACAGTACCCAAGTACAGGGTCGGGAATTTTAGATTTTTAAAAATAATAATAATTTAAGTTTTCTGAAAACTTTTGAGAAAATCACAAAAAACGTCATAACTCGAAAACCACAAACATTTGAGAAGTCATATTTGGAGGTAAGATTCGCAATCCTTGATAGTACTCTGACAGTACCCAAGTACAGGGTCGGGAATTTCAGATTTTAAAAAAATAATAATAATTTAAGTTTTCTGAAAAGTTTTGTTAAAATCACAAAAAACGTCATATCTCGAAAACTAAAGAATTGAGCAGTCGTACTTGGAGGCAAGATTCGCAATCTTTGAGAGTACTCTGACAGGACCTAACTTCAGGGTTGGAAATTTCAGATTTTTAAAAAATCATAATAATTTAGGCTTTCTAAAAAATTTTTAAAAAATCACAAAAAACGTCATATCTCGAAAACTACAGGGTTGGGAATTTCAGATTTTGCAAAAAAAAATAAAATAAATTTTCTGAAAATTTTGAAAAAATCACAAAAAACGTCATATCTCGAAAACTACAAGGATTTGAGCAGTCATATTTGGAGGCAAGACTCGCAATCCTTGATAGTACTCTGACAGAACCCAACTACAGGGTTGGGAACTTTAAGTTTTATAAATTATTTTGTTATTTGAAATTTTTGAAAATTCGCAACCCCTAATTCGATATTGGGCTGCTTAATTCAAACTCGGTAAAATAACCACTAAAATCAAATTGGAAAATCGAAAAAAAAAATTCTTAACCATTGCAATATACGATATAGCTTAAACATGCAAAAGCAATACGTTGAAAAAGCTTAAACATGGCGAGATAGTGAAGCCCGCATTTAAATATATAATAGATAATAGATTCTGCCAACCGCTTCTTTCGATTGAATTTTTCATTCAGATTTGATAGGTTAGTTTTTAAGAATGTCAACCGACCTGCTTTACCTTAAACAAATTAACTTGAGCCGATGCAAAATAGTTAACTAAACCGACAAAATATAGGACGAAAACAATTAGGCCGAATAAAAAGAGCAAAAAAACTACTAACATACCAGCCAGGTTTAGTAAATTTACAAAAACAAAAACTTGAGACTAAAAGGAAAACTAACTCCTTGAACAAAGTTTTTTGTTTTTATAGAAAAATGCTGAAAACTACGAGCAAAGTCAGAATAAAAAAATTTAAGAGTAATTTGTGCTCTTATAGGCTAGAAAGCACTTGAAGCAAAACAAAAATCAATTGACGAAAAAAAAAGATCAAAAACTATAGCAAGAAAATTATGAAAAACTGAGTTCTACCTTCGTTAGAAACACAATGATACTAACAGCAAGCCTTCAGATTAGAAGAGGTAAAAATCTAATAGCTTGAATGAAAAGAAAAAACTCAAGCAAAAAGATTCGCATCTACCAGCTACAATGCAAACCCTACACAGGCAAAACAAGTATGCTGCATATTTAAGCTGCATAATTGTCAAATTACTATTTCAAACTTCATTCTAAATAATAACAACTCCGTGAAAATTATTTACGGGAACATAATTCTAGTATCCGGTTGTAATACCCTTGCTTATCGCAAGGGTTAATACTGAAAAAAAAACAGGTCCGGCCGGGACTCGAACCTCAGACCATAGAAGGCAAAGGCAACCGCATTACTTTCAGACCAAGTGGTAAGGGGCCTGAAAGGTTCAATGATAAAGCAGAATCAATTTCTCACAAATTTATGAGAAAAGTTGTTTATGGGAAAAAATTTAGTTCCTGATTACAAGACATTTGCTCTCACAATTGTAACGATAGAGAGTCGGAACTCTGACCAAATGCTAGATGACCCTTTTTGGGAATATCAATATGAATCAAAGTTGCATCCACCTCGTTTTGAAGGTGTTAATAAGCCACTCAAACATAACTAGTATCAGAGGAATGCTTGCTTTGGAAATATTTTTGCAAACAAAACCAGAAATTAAGGTCTCAAATTGATTCTTTGGAACATGACAAGTTTGACTTGCGCTGTATGCCGCGGTAAAAAAGACTTTGAAAAAAGTCTGGCGACAAAAAACGGTCGTATTTTGGCCATAAAGACATTAAAGGTATAAATGGACACTTATATCAGAAACCCGGCCCAATTCAGGAACAACTTCATTGCTTATGAAACCATGTGCATCGACTTTCCTAATTATTCTTTCGAAATATTTGCTGGAAAACTTCTTTTTTTGGCATAACTCGATCATCAGCGCAAAACAACTCATAAATATTTAGCCGTTTACTGACGCCGGACCACGTAACTCTTTCAATTAAGACTTTTAGGAGAAAAAAAGTCAAGCTTGTCAGCTACCCAAAAAATCAATTTGAGCTCATTAATTCAAATTACTTGCATTGTGCACGAGGATACTTCCACAGCAAGAACAGCTCTGAAACTATTTAAGATTGACTGGCTAACACATACCTTCAAAACAAGATCTCTCTAACTTTAATTCAAGTGATTTCATCTACCTTGAGGTTAAAGTTTAAACCTTATCCCTTAAATAAGTGCAGAGAAAACAATAATAACATCAAGAAAAACTTCTTTTTCTCGTTGAATCAAAAAAATTGCAACTTCTGTCCCGTGACTGTAGTATAGTAAACTGGTCAGCAATTCCATGAAAATCTCTGTTTACTGAACAAAGTGGCGGTTTCTGAAAGCCGCAAGGAATATAGAGACCTGGCCAAATTGAACTCTTTTTTATCCTACTATTGAAGGAACTTTGTATTCGGGTGAGTTAATTTTTCCCCATGCAAAATCAAGTACTGTACAAAATCAACGACAAGGGTTGAGTGCTATATCATATGGAAGCCTTTTTAGTCGTGACTTGAACATTAAAAATGCTCAAAAAAAATCCAGTATCGAGGAGAAACGTTTTGAAACTTTTGATTTCGCGAGGAAAGCGATCGAGTAACTTCAAAGATTTTACTTCAAGGAAAACTAAATTTGAAAGCTTCAATTAGCGCTTCTCTGGAAAACAAAACATTCAAAATTATTCTAAACTTTTATTGCAAATAAATGAAAAAAAAAATTAGAAAATGTTTGTTTTTGATTTTTTTTTGATGACATTTATAGTCATTTATACCTAGTTCATTTAATTTCTATCATCACGCGACGCATCATAGCTCTATCATCACGCGAAGCTCGGCTATCATCACTCGGCTATCATTGTTTTATTTTTTTTCCATTCGTTGTTCGTCTTAAGGAACAAAACGATCTTCATTGTGTTTTCCTTCGTAGTTGGAAGTAGAAAAAGAACTCGAACACGCACCAAATTTTCCTCTTACTTTCAAAAAGTGATTTTCTGTTGAGTAACCAAAGTTCTTAATGGGAAAAATGTGAAAAAATATGTAATACATTTGCTTTTGCAAGTGCATAAAAACAAAAAGGCCTGAAGAAAAAAGAAGAGTATTCTTAGCTTCTTTATATTGTGACAATTTTTGAGAAGAAACTTGAAAAGAAGGCTATTGCAAAATTTCTCAATTCTTAAAGCAACACTCAAATATGAATGCGCTTATAAACCATGAATCAGAACTAAAATTGAGAATAGCTTAATACCTAAAAAAGTGTTCAAATAGTGAGCTTTGAGCGGTTAAAAAAAATAAAATCGAATTTCTTCCACATTTCTTTCGCCTTGCCAAAAAATTTTAGCTAAAATTTATCCACAAAACTTTTATGTCTATGATTCTCACAAACCGATAAAATGAGATCGTCGTGAAACAAATTTCGAATGATTGATTCGACCAAAAATCCAAGGAAATTTCAAGTAGCCTAACGGGGAACTAATTATTTGCAATAACTGTATATGTCCACCTACAAAACAGTCAGATTAAAACAAATAAACTTATTAAATGTTAAATTAACACTATACATATATTATAAAAAATTATCTAACAAAAATGACCCAAATTTTTCAATTAAAACTATAAATATAGGCAGAACAATTATAAAACTTCTCAATTAATATAAACTAACGATGCTAACTACATCAATTTACAAATTTGATATTATATAAATAAATAATTTCGTAAAATTATCCCGAGATAACGCTTTCCCGTGCGCATTTATATTTGGAATGTCGCTGTTTCATGTTAGTTCTTGGAATAGATACTCTTGTAGTGTTGTTGAAGTTTGCGATCAAGGAACCAACTCCTCCTTTTATATTGATTAGTTGTTTACTCAACCGCATCAGGTAATCTCATTCTCATTCCAAGGATGAATTTTGAGAAATCCATTTTGGCCGACTGCTTCGAAATACCATTATTGGCACGTGATCTACTTTGCATATTCATCTAAAATATATTTACTTTTTCAATTGCAATCCATAAAATCAATTTAAGTTCACAATTTGGAGTAATGACTTCAATGTAACCTCGAAGCAACGATTCCAAGGAAACTATAGTGAAACTTGACTTCTGTATCATGACGTCACACAAAATTGAAAAAAACAACAACTAGGCATCTGTAATGAGTGTTATACGTTGATTATGACCATGGACAAAAACACTTCAGTCAACTTACAACACTCGTGCATCTTGCATAGGCATTTTCTATCTCAAAATCTAATTTCATATTCCTTAATAGTAAATCTGATGGGGGATAGTTCAAAAGCGTTTTTCCTTGGCAGTTTTTGCTCAAATTTTATGGTTTATTTCACATTAACAGCCAAATATTATCAACATCTGCGGATATCGTTCTGTGCCGTTATTTTTTTTTGATTGTGTTAAGTCACAAACACTAATTAGGCTTGACGAGACGACGTCTCAAGAAGAAACTTTGAACTCTTTTTCCGAGTTTCAAAATTTTGAATTTTTTATGATTCTAGAAACAAGGACTCTTTTCCACCCCCACCCCCCCCCCCCCCCACACACACACACACACACACACATTTGAGTTTCAGTTATGAAAAAAACTGTAGGCATAATCTAACAAAAACTTGCATGGTGAACAAACTAATTTTTGTGCACAGATCTATTCTTCATACTTTTCATCGTAACAACAACTAAGAAAAATGAAAATTTGAAATGCGGGGAAAGTGAAAAAAAAGCCGAAACAGGGAAACTAATTAAATAGAAAAACTTGAAGATTCCTTATATTTCGAGTTTACAATCAACGTGTGCATAACTACAAATTAAAATTTTTATGAATTTGAAGCAAACTCGAGTGTGTGCATTTCAAGAGCCATCTATACTTATTTGAGTCAAAAGAGCAAAAATCTCAAGGACTTTTGTCCAAATGATGATGCAAAAAGCGAACAAACATTTTCGCATTTTTCTGTGCAAATTGCAAGAGTGCTACTAACAGTTTAACACAAAATTGATATAAAAATAATTAAAGGAAAAAAAGAAGTCAAAAGGAGAAATCGATGATCCCAAAGACCCTCTTTAGCCACTATGTAACAGATCGTTATCCAGGAGATATCGTGGGCAAAGTAGGGAAACCTTAAAACAATACTCCATTTTAAAAATGCAGATACTTTCAATTTGGGTAGAAAGAAACAAAAAAAACTCCTATTTAATGAATTTTTACAGATTTTACCCCTGAGGGCGATCAAAAGCGCCCATTTATTTTTTTTATCGATGTAGCGGTGATGAAAAGAAAGCGAAGAAATGACTAAGTCTCCGCTTCTTAATCGTATGGTGGGTGCTTCGAGGCGCACTATTCGTTGGCTGATGGTGAAGTAATATTACCCAGGGCCAGGGCTCGATGCTGCGCCAGGGTTCTTGGCTTTTTGCACCCGGTCAGTATTTCGTGGTTTCAGATCTCAGTAATAACTTAACTGGTGCAACTGAGTTCCCCTAAATTCGAACCCTAACGTACTACTCACCAATCTCTGGTGCAACCAACTGTGCCAATCACATTAAGTTGCTCTAAAAAAGCAAGTCTTGAACACCGATTGATATCAAAAATTGACAATAGAATCTTAGATGAAGAGTTATCTGCAGGGCTGTTCCTTTCAAGCCCCTGCGGAGACGCGAAGCAAACTGACATATTAGCGCATGATCAATAATTTGAAAGACATTACAGACAATATTAATAACATTATTAACAATATTAATAAACTTCGCAGTAAAAATCTGTAAAAACATCTGATCTGGTTTATCTGGAAATCCAACGGGCTCCTTTAGTATACAGGTCAATTGTATTACCATTTCAATGTCTTCTACTGGTATATAAACAGTTATTGGCAGTAAAGAGAAGAGGAGAGATAGATTATGAAAGGACAAAAATCAATCAAAGGATGGAAAGGACACAAAAAGAAAAACATCAGTTTCGTAATATCATAGTGAGCAGCCTCGAAATTATTGATGTTCGAAAAAAAACGATCAACTCAGCAACTCCAATGAAAACCGCAAGTGTTCATAATTTTTTCATTTAGGAGATATGAATGTTTACTTTCATACAAATTTGAACATTTGTTTAGTAATTATTCAAGAGAAGAAAAATCTCTCGAAAGGAAAATTGAACTTATTTACTATAAACTCGACCACTCATCTTTCTGTATGAATACTGATTTCACTTCAACTTAAATTTGAAAGATTTCACGTCAACTTAATAAGCAAGTTGAGAAAACAAAAAAGGAATTTTTTGTCTCCGTCCGGGATTTGAACCTGGTCATCCAGCGTGTGAGACCAAAACATATGGCTTGGCTATGGTGGTAGTTAAAATGAATACATTAAAGTTAATTAAAAATTTATCGGTTCTCAATTAAACAGCCAATCATAGTTTCTCTTGAATCCGTTAAAAAGCCAATCATAGTTTCTCTTGAATCAGTTGACTGATCGAGACTCGTGTTGAATCTAAATTTAAGCGTCGGAAACACACATAGACGAAGCGAAGGTTCGTATCAACTGCGATAGACCGATGGCGTAGCACTGCAAGCTAAGAAAGGCAGTGAGATGCAAAAAACTGAGAAAAAAAAAACTAAAAATCAACGTTTTTTTCGGAAATAAAAAAAAATTCAATCTCAAACACGTGCAAAGCAACCATAACATTAAAAAGCTTCAAATACTTTTAGAGAATTCAAAAACCAACAAAACGTGGCTAGCGGACCATCAATAGATCCGATAAAAGTTCAAAGGAAACTGTTGTCAAAAAACAATTTTGAGCGATTAAATTGTTTGAATTTCTAATTTTTAAACTATAACCAACCTAATTTGTTCAAAACAAAAAAATCAATTTTTATCCTTAAACCAATGCAAAATAAGTTAACTAAACCATAAAGCATGAGCTCAAATTATTTAGGCCGAATAAAATTTCTAAGCGAAACAAAGCACAAAAAATGTAACATACCAGTCAGGGCTAGTCAATTAAACAAACTACAGGAGTTACTCAACGACACTTGAGACTACAATGGAAACAGCTTACAGCTCAACTGAGCCGAAATTGTGAGTCGACAAACTATAGTTGCGACCATTCAATTTTTCCCCTGAACAAATTCGATTTCAGACACTGAAAAAATACGGTCCGACCGGGACTCGAAACCTTACCATAGGTTGCAAAGGAATCCTCATTACCTCCAGGCCGAGAGAAAAGGGGCCTGGAAAACGCTAAGAGATGGTAATAAAACATAAATTTCAACAACAAATGAGTGAAGTTGTTAATGGGAAAGTCTAGTTCCTGACTACAAAAAACTTGCTGTCGCAAGTATAACCACTACATTAACACATTGCGGTTTCAATTAATAGGTCATCAAAAGTAAGCCCAAAAAGCATGAGTTGGGGTCTACTAATCTTGGGGTTAGAAGACTCCTAATCTTGGGGTCTTTGCATTTACTTCCTGTTAGTTAGCTTTCATATTCAGTAAAATTGACCATTAAATTTGAATGAGGTTCCTACTTATAAAGAGGTCGAAATGTACCCGGTTCTTGAAATGACCCTCGAGCTTAATATGATAAGTGTTCCTCCTAATACTTAAGTTAAACATTTGTCACTCTTATGAAGAAGCCTCGTGATTACTCACAACTGTGTATTTGTCTCTACATGAGGGGAGGGGGGATCGGGGTGCTGTCACGTTTGGAATGAACGAACTTCACCCGTTTTGTTATCAATTCTTTGGTGCATCCTAACAAGTCAAATTAAAATGGTTAATTTACGGATAATACAATATATTCGAGCAGCCACTTTTGCGCAATTGTGTTTAATCTACCAAACCAAACATCGGTAACAAACTTTATTGTCAAAATAAATGTTGACTTAGGTTGCTGAAGTTTACTTTTCGGTTTATTATTCGTGTAACTTGGCGCACAACTTTGTTACATTTCGCGCTTTAGAGTTTGAGTTAGAAGTTGTTTCTTTTGCTTAGAACGTCCGAAAATTACTCTGCATATGAAACTCACTTGTTCTTTCTCTCAATTTTTCAGTAAGTATGTTTTCCAATAGAGATTCGAGAAAAAAAACAGAAAACCGAACCCACAGTGCTAAATGTATGGAGTGCCATTAATCGTAGATAAGTACCACGAAATTTGTTCCAATTTTTAACGTCAATCAATTTAAACGAATTTAACGTACTTGAGATCAATATCAGTTTTTAAGTTTGTCCCTTAAAGATCGAACATACTCCCTTCCCATTCCCTTCTTAGATTCTACGGCTCAATAAAATTGAACTTATTGGTCAAGCTTGTTCCTGGGGACGTCCATGAGTTTCAAAAATAACACAGCCAAAAACAGAATAAAATGAGTCCCAAAAAAAAGATTTTGGAATTTTCTAGCTTACTTTTCTGTCAGTAACTCTGCTACTTTCAAGAGTAATTGTTTGCCAACAAAATTTATAAACCCGGGCTTGAGAATTTAGCTCTTATATTGATTCAAATAAAGTTTGAGTATACAGGGGTGCTTTCGCTTCTTATCGACA